CGACGGGAGTAAACTCATGTTTGGGTGACAAGAGGAAATGAATTGGCTGTATCTCACCAACAGCCATAATAAAATATTTTATGAGTATGGTTTTTTTATTCCCAAGAAGGTAGGTCTCTCAAGAGATATTATACTTGAAGTATTCTATACATGTAAGCCACATTTGATCCATTCAGCATAACGATCTTAGGAATAATGTCACTCACATCCTTCGCACTAGTGGGTTGGCTAATAGCATCATTATTCAAATCACAGTTTAATATTTCTATTCTATCTTATACATATATATATACATACATATATATGTATGTATATATATATATATGCACATATATACGTCCTTTATATGTTTTTTCACATCAGTGTGTCGCGAGTGTCTATTGAGTATGTAGCATCCAACCACGTGAAATCAAACACCCAACAGAGGTTTTTGTGAAAAGGGACACAAGGAGGCTAAGGATGACAGAAATGTTAACTCAATTACATCAAACGAGAGTCCGTCCAGTTTTCTCACTTTCAGACTCCAAGTCCTATTCAAAGTCCCCTTCTTGTACTCACCTCATTTGCAACTCCAAGCCTTATAACTGGAACATTTCCTCACCCCTAACCTCCCCAGTGGTTGATTTCCCACAATCAAAAAAAGTCCTGAAACTTTCAGGAAGACTTTCTGGCTTTTTCAGATAAAAAGAGATATATTCTACCTGTCCCTCTCAATCTAGGTTAGAATGTCCCACCTTCTTTCCCTCCAAAATGCAATTCATTAAAAAGGTTGTAGGATATAGATATGGAATTATCATATTTGATCAATGTGTTGATTTAACTGTTTGTTTAACTTTATTATAAGGGAAGTATCTTTTTTATTATAAAGGAAGTCTCTTCACTTCACTATAAGGGCAGTCTTCTCTTGGGATGAAGAGAGTTACTGGAAAGTGATGAGATGTTTAAAAAAAGCATCAATAAAATATTTTTAAAAAATAAAATGTAATTCAAAATTCTTTTCAGGGATACTTATAAACTCTATTCTCATTTTGTTCTACATCTTTTCAGGATATAACCAATCTATGTACTGCAATAATTTGTACTCACTTTACTTTCATCTTTTAAAAAATGATTCCTATCTGCTACATTTCTCTAGCTAGACTGTAAACTCCTTGAGGGTGAAGGGTCACATCTTCTTGATTCATTTTTCAGTTCATCTGCCTCTACTAGCCCCAACTTTGATATATAGCACCTTGCATAGCATACAGCCCAACAGAGGTGCTAGCACATGCTGAACCTACACTCCTACAGCCACTCTCCTAATACGTGCTTCCCCTTACCTCCCACCCCTAAAATGCACTTACAAACCATTCATGCCTTGGTTTAATGTTCTTGCTCTAATATCTCTACATTCTATATATGTGTACTTGAATTAATGTTAGTCTTCAACTATAATTTCCCAAAAAGCAGAAAATGGTCTTATTTATTATTCTCTATAATAACTCATGGTTTTAACTTTCCTCCCTTTCCAATCTCAACTCTGTAGTTAATCAGTTCAATATCATACCTTTACTCTTGAGTCCCTTACCCTATCTCCACTCACGTGTGGCCCAACCCAAACCTAATAACTCCCATAACTCCACCTCCTCCGCTTCTACTCTTTTGCTGCTGGAATACCTAATCTCAAATGAGACCTCACAACAGCCAGGAAATAATGTCATTCTTCCTTAACTGATTCTCTCTTGTCCTCTCCACAGCCCGCTGCTCCAAACTTTTTTGACTCTCAGGGCTCCCTCCCTACTCCCTCACTGCCTCTCAGCCGAGGAACTCAGCTCGCACTTTCATAAGGAAGGACATGAGCCATTTCCTCTGAGATTCCTCTTCTCCACTGCTGGCCATTTCAAACCCCAGACATCACTTGCTATTCTATCCTCCTTTGTCATAAACTCTGCTGAAGAAGTAGTCCCTTCTCCTCTCAAAGACTAATAACTTTACACTGCCCCTTGATTCCACTCCCACCAGTCTTCTCTGACAGACTGCCCCCATAATCCCCACTCCCTCTACTCTTTCACCTCTATCTACTTGCTCCTTCCCTGCTGGCTTACAAACATGTTTAGGTCTTGATTGATTCTAGCACCCACACCCAAGATAGACTGTCCTTTTACAGTCAAAATCTTATCTTCCTTCCACTACTCAATCATTTCTTAACCTTTGAAAACTAGCTTTCAACCTCATTATTCAACTGAAGGTCTTCAGAAAACTATAATCTGTTCTTCCTAAAGTCATCAATCATGATTTAACTACCAAATGTGATGGTTCTTCCTCCTTCTTGACTTCTGGAGCACCTGACACCCTCTTAAATACTCTCTTTTCCTGGATACTTTCTCCTTTCTAACTTCAAGGCACTGTTTCTTCCTCGTTCACCTACCATGTATCTGATCATTCTTTCTCACTCTCCTTTTTTGGATCTTCATCTGTATCACACTCTCTGAATGTGATCTCAAGACTCTGTCCAGGACAGAGTCTTTTTTCCTCTATATTCTCTCATTTGGTGACTTTATCAGCTTCCATGGGACTAATTATCATCCCAATGTAACCTCCCTCTGTTCCCTAAGCTCCAGTCTCACATCATGAAATACCCATTGGAAATTTTAAACTGGATATTCTATATCCCATCTTAAACTCACTATGTCCAAAACTGAACTGATCCTTATTCCAAACTTTCCTGTTTCTTAGGAAAGTTCATCATCCTTCGTTAAGAACACAATTACCCAGATTCAGAACCAGATTCATCTCTTTGACTCATGTCAATTGCCAGACTATGTTTCTACCTGCACAATACCTCTCCCAATCAACTCTGCCTAGATAGACACCACCCTCACTCAGGCCATCATCATCTCTCACCTGGACTACAAGAGCCTTCCAGCTGGTCTCCCTGCTTTAAATTTCTCCCCTTTCTAATCCAGCCTCCACACAGCTCTGCCTCCTGGTTTCCTTCAAAACTCAAATCTCAACTTCCATAACGGGCTTTTTCTGATCTCTACATCCCTCCTCAACTGCTAATGCCTCTCCTCTGGGATTTCCTCTCCTTTACACTGCATATCTGCTGTATTTATATCATTTTTTTTCACATGTTACCTCCCCCATAAACTCCTTGAGGTCAGGGATCATTTTTTTTTTCCTTTTTATGTATTCCCAGTATCTAACATAGGACTTGTACATAATAGACACTTAAATGCTTGTTGACGAGGAGGTCCTTCCTGATCCTCATTAGCCTCTGATTCCTTCTCCTTTTCTTCCCTGCCAAATTCCCTTGAACTTATTTTGTAGATACTCATGTATGCATATGTTGCCTTCTCTGGTAGAATTTCAGTTTTTGCAAAGCAGAGACTATCAGGTTTTGGTTCTGTATCTCCAGTTATGGGCATAGCACCATAAACATGTAACTACTACTTGTTGACTGACTGATGCAAACAGGGACTTCATGTATGATGAATTCTCTGACTCTCTCCTTTTTTCCAGAATAAGCACAGTGATGAGGCTACCCTTAATGTTAGTTCTCTCAGCACAGTAGAGTTTTTTAAATGGAAGCAGAGATTCCATCTGGGAGTTTTTACCTTGTATAGGAATATCATTATTGCACTTAACAAGTTTTCACCTGTGTCTAAATTATATCTGGGTTACCATTTAGACATATATTACATGTCCAACATTGGTTTATTAATGTTTCCTTGGTGGCAAATCAATACAATAAAAGAAATTATGGTCACTGAAATGGACTTAAGAAGAAAATGAGTCTTCTTCATTTAATATGTTATCAATGAAAGAAATGACTGGTAGGAAGAAATTACCTATTTCCTAGCTCTATGTCACATCTCCTTTTGTCTCCTCTCCCATGTTAAACTCTCTATTTCATTCCTCTATAGTTTCAGAGGTAAATTAAAAATAAAATAGAATGAAAATGTCCAAAATAACCCTCTTTCTAAATGATTAAAACCAGGGCTGCTGTTCTCTCACAGTGAAAACCATCTTTTGGAAACTGAAGATAGTTAAAATCCAAATGTAGGTAGTTAGAGTCACACTTTTTGTTTATTATGAGAGAAATGATTAGTAGGGGCCTTAGGGATCATTAGATCTGTCTCTGTGCCTCTAAACAGGGTTACATACTCCTGGGCAAGTAGAAAACTCTTTTTCCTCCATGACCTATTCTAAGGGATCTGAATTCTCACATGCAAGAAATTCTTAGGGTCTACCCTAAATCTTCCCTACTTGCAATCTATAATTTTCTCCCATGCTTCACCTCCAGTGGAAAAGTCAAACAGCTCATCAGAATAGCTTACATTGACTAGTACAATACTTTTTTCACATCTAGTATTTTATATGATATTCATGACAATCTGATGAGGTAGACAGGGAAGGTATTGTTATCTCTATTTTATAGATAAGGACATAAGGCTCTCAGAGTTTAAATAGCTTAACCATGGTCACATGGCTCCTAAGTGACAGAAGTCAGGCTAGGACTGAGATCTTTGACTTTTAACTGTTCTTTCTACTATCATATGCTGCCTTTTATCCTACCATGTCTTCCTCTAGTCATACCTTTTTTGGATGGAATAAGCAAAACTTTCCCTCAATGTTCTTATTTTCTAACTCTTCTATTTTAATGTAGTCCTTTAAATTTGTTCCCAGTTTACTGTGTGATCTTGAAAAGTCACAACATCTTTGTGCTTCTGCTATTTTTTAAGTAAAACTGGTAAAAGATCACTTTCCATTTCTTTGGTTCATAGTACCAACGAGATAATAGCACATACAGATCACAGCACTTTCTGAAGGGTTGAGATCTCCTCTTCTGACCCCTCTCATCCCCACACAACTGTCCTGAGGCTAAAGATAAACCCTGGACTATATGAAATCATTCAATCTAAATCATCCTAAGGGTAGACAAGAAACACCATGTCCCACTTCTTTATCAATTGCCTCAAAGCAATATTTAATAGATGAAAATAAAAATTGTCACCCACCGCCTCCTCTCCCTGGCTTCTGTGGAGGAGTCTGTCCCAGTAGTTGAGAGCACATTGGCAGCTGTAACCCCATTGGCAGTGCTAGGCGGGGGGCGATTGGTGATCACACACAGCGGGGTGCTAGAGGACACACTTTCTGCAGCTTTTTCCACAGATGGATCTGCATGGAGCTTGTAAGGAGTTCTGAAATCAAAGAAAATGAAACATAGAGAACATTTAGGCATCTCTCCCAATAGACCCTTGACAGAGTGTAGAGTGAAGTCAGATTCAACAGCAAAACCTTCCAGCTCCTCTTTAATTCTGAGCTTTTTAAGTTTTAAAGGCTTATCTGCTTGGAAACACTATCACTGTGCCCATGCACACCCACCTCCCCACCTGCCACCCAAGAGGCTGAATTTAATGAAATTCCTTGCCCGAGATTAAAAAACATTAGCTATGGCACAGCCAAGATACTGACTGACATGGGCAATAGTATTTTGCAGAATTCCTTGCTGCCATCTGGAACCCACACATGCATACACAAGCTGGTTCTGGCCACACATGAAAAGGACACTAAAGTCACTTACAATTCCAGTCTCCACCTAACCCTCAATCAATACCTGGGCAAGGGAATCTTCATGGGAGTCTTGAGCCAAGATACGATGGTGAGCTCCTTGTATTATCCATATACAAACATTCTGAATATTTAAGAAGTCCTTAGCATATTTAATTCTCCCTCTCCTAGCTCCTTCTCTGCATTTGAGCCAATTACCTTGCTGCTTGCATGTAGGTTAGCATAATATATTTCTGATAAAAAGAAAATCAGAGGACAAATAATTATTGGCTCAAAATGGAATTCTAGTAGGATTCTATGTGTAACCTTAACTACAGATTTTGTATCTACAAGATGTATAATTAAAGTCATTTGCATGAGAACAGGATCTTTGTTTCTTAAAGGGATTGGCTCCAACTACAGGCTCTCCTCCCAAAAAACTATTATTTGTGATGTCACAGCTTGTTGCTAGGGTAACAAAACCCCAAAACTGAAAACCACATTTATCAGAGAAGCAATTGAGATATAAAAACTCCTAAATACTAATTTCTACCATAAGTTTAATCCAAGGAAAATTAACAAGTGATCATAAGTTCATTGTCAAACATATCACATTGGCAGAATAAGCTTCAAAGAAAAAATTCAGGCTAAGAAAAACTGAACACATCTCCAGATCCATCTCAATTATTCAACAAGCATTTATTATGCAACTACATGCCAAGTATCATGCTAGTTACTGGGGGTACAAAGACAAAGAATACAAAAGTCCATGCCCTCAAGCATTTTACATTCTACTGAGGGAGACAACACATTACACAAAATAAATACAAGGCAAATTTTGGGAGAGGACATTAGCAGCTGCTGGGATCAAGAAAGGCAGAAAACTAGATGCAACTCTACACTCCGAGAGATGCCACACAAATACCTTCCCACAAAGGGTGGGTAGCATGGGTCAGTCAGAACAGAGGTGATTTAAGTCAATATTGTAAGACCTACATGAGAGGTGAGCCCACAAGAACTAGAACGCTGGGTCCATGGTTTTTTTTTTAATGCTTTTTTTTTCCTGCATATATTCAACCAGATCCAGTTGTTCTTCCTGACCTTCATCTTCTAAGACATCACTGCCATTTTCACAAGCAGTACACTGGGTACTGAGATAATAAGACTCTCTACATAGTAGTTTCACTGCTATTGCTGATGAAAATGTGAGGAAAAGCTTCCCCACAATTAGAACTGTTTCAAAATGGAATAGGTTCCTTGATAAGGAAGTGGGTCCCCCATCAGTGGAGGTCTCCAAGCAGAGGATGGATTCTTACTTAATATGTAAGTTCTACAAGATGAACTTTGAAGTCCCATCTAATTCAAAGATTCTATAATTCTCTGAGCCTTATTTTTAAAATTGTAATAATAAAAAATCAGATTTAAAAATGACCCAACCCAAAGATGTTGCTCAGGTTTATATTAAATATGTACTAAGTGGAAACAATAAATGCCTCTAAGGCAGCTAGGTGCCTTAGATAGGTGGTAGAGCGTTGGGCCTAGAGTCAAGATTTGAGTTCAAATCCAACCTCAGACATTCACTAGTTATGTGACCCCAACTATAAAATGGGGAAAATAACAGTACCTGCCTCCTAGGGTTGTTGTGAGGGTCAAATGAGAAAATATGTATAAAGCACTGAGCACAGTGCCTGACATATAGCAAGTACTTAATAAAATGCTAGTTTCCTTCTCTTCCAATTCAAACCAGTCTCCACTGTTGCATTTCTAGTATCGCTATAAGCATAAAACTAAATACAAGAGGCAGAATTGCTAAATGTTAGAGAGTTTTTTCTTTAATATTGGAATTTTAACACTAAAAGGAACTAAGAACAACAATTTATAGAAAATAATTATAATTTTACTTTGAAATAAAATCTTTCACACTACTATGTTTGTTTTCTTTGCCTTACAGATTAAAAAAATGTGCTCTATCAATTGACACAGCTTGGTCCTTCAAAGTATTCTTAAATTCTGGTCCTTCTAGTGTTACAAATTATTATTCTTTTTCGAAAGCATATGGATCTTGTACGAGCTGAGAGGCAGTACAATATTGAGTGCCTATGGTTCTGGGCCAGAAATCAATGATTTTGGTTCTAGCCCCAACTCCAGCAATCTGACCCTGCTCAAGTCCTGTGTTTTTTCTGACCCTCAACATTCTGATTTGTCAGATGGGCATGAGAATACCTGCCCTGCCTCTCTCAGAGGGTTGTTGGGAGGCTCAAATCAATGTCATATCACAGGATCAGCTCTGGGTTTTAGAGCTGTAACAGACCTTCTAGGTCCCTCAGCCCAAACCCCATCAAATGAGAAAAATGAGGCCCAGAAGTGAAGGGCCTTGCCCACAGACAGTCATCGGAGGTGGGATTCCAACCTTTGTTCTTCTTGCCTTTAAGTCCAGCACTTCTGTCCACTCCATCATGACGTCTCTCAGAAATAATGGGAATAAGGAGATAATCACTCCTGATATTAATAATCATTAGTGATAACATTGCTATTCCTAATAATAGCAGCAATTTACAATGAAAGAGATCTTGTCTTAAATGACAATCACCTACATTAAGTAAAGAAATCTCCTGGTGACTTCACAGGTGTCAAGTATAATATAACAAGAAAATGCTGAAGGGGAAGCTGTGACACCCAGGTCCCAGTCAAAAAACCATAGATTAAATTACAAAGGGACCTTATAAGTCAGAGTCCAGTCCTCTCATTTTACAGGTGAAGAAACTGAGGCCCACAGAGGTGATGGGATGTGCCCAACATCTTTACACAGTAAGTAGCACAGTAAGGATTTGAATCCAGACCTATAAATTCTAAATTCAATGCTCTTTTTATTTGTTTTTGGGAAGAGGGAAGAGGGAAGAGGGAAGAGGAAGCAATCAGGGTTAAGTGACTTGCCCGAAGTCACAAAGCTAGTAAGTATCTGACACAGATTTGAGTTTCGGTCCTCCTAACTCCAGGACCAGTCCTCTATCCACTGCACCACCTAGCTGCCCCTAATTCAATGATCTTTCCATTACACCACACTGTCTCATCTTCTGGTTCAACTAACACCTAGCTGTGAGCTTCATTTCCTCAACTACAAAATATGTGGGCTCTTCAGTTATCTTACACCCTAATATCCTATGATCTAAGAACTATCTTTAGTATTGCCCTAATATTAGAATTATTGCCATCACCATCCTATTTTCTTTCAGTTATTTGTAAAACCTAGGCCCATAAAAAGTAAGTTAACAGCTATACTTCCATAACAAAAGTCATAACTATCATAGGTTAAAAGTAACTGCTTGACCTCTTTCCCTTCTTTGGAGAGGAGGGGGCCTAAAGATGACTAAACACTGAAGATCTTGGAGTGCCTCAGAGGGTTCTGCTCAACTGTTCCCCCCCCCCATTTTTATTTTATTATAAGAGATGACTATTATAAGGGAGAGAAATGAAAGATACATTGGTAAGTACCAGTAACATAAAGATCAAAAAGGTATCAATAAAAATTTACTTTTTAAAAAAAGTCACTGCTGGACTTTCACATAGCTATCCTTAACCATGCTGCCTTTGGATTTCCCTACAAGCCAAGAAGATAATATCTTGGAATAAACTTCGAATGAACGACAACATCCCCCTTCCCACATTATCGAGCAAGTCAGTGTCTCTATCTAGAAAGCAGAAGGCTTTCTGCTAGAGGCTGTGTTTTAGAATAAGGTGCCACTTTTCATCCTGACTAGGTTCACATTTTATCTTCCATAAAGATTGAAGAAAAGGTATTCCAACTTTTGTGTATCTGCAGGAAAACACATACCTTGCAAATGGGGTGTGCAAATCATTTTAACATTTGATTTAACACACACTAGGGTAATCTTGAATTTCAATCATAACTGACAAGAGAATCCAGTGTAGAAGCCAATGGTGTTAATTAAATATATATCTTAAAATTATATATGTTGCAATGCACCCTAAGAGTGTACCTAGCTTTGTAGGTAATTTCCATGAAGATTGAGGCCTAAGTATAATTTCCATCTGGGTATCAACAGCACAAATTTGTTGAACCTAATGCAAAGGGCTCCAGTAAACCTTACCTGCCATGGTGAACAGATGCAGTAGTATTTGCACTGATTGGTGCAGGGCAGGAAGAGGCAGGTTGCCACTGGCTGCCTCGAGAGGTAGATGAACCAATGGTAGTGGGTGAGGTAGCAGGAGATGAATTGCGATTGGCTGAAATGTAGGGACTGGTGGGGTCACTACTTCTACCAAATGAAGCACTGCAAAACAGCACACAGGGTCACTTTGTCACTTCCCTTTAGGACATGCAGTGCACACAACAATTCCCAGCCCCAGCTCCCCACTTGAGTTACGTGCTTTACATAAACATGAGCCAGCATAGAGAGGGTAATGCAACGAAAAAGTGATCAAATTCGGCTAGTAGTAGGGGGATGTTGTAGGTCAGTTTCTATCGAAAAGCACAGGAATACAAACAGTAATGAGAAGACAAGTAATGTTAACACTGTAGGAAAATGGGAGACGAGGCTAGGAGAGTGTAGGTAAGAAAAAGAAAATTATTGTATTCAAAGAGAGACCTATCCTATTAGACCCCAAGGCAAGAAATATTCCTTTCCTAAGAGCTCATATGAAGCAGAGTGACAGGAGAGAAGAATCCCCTGGGCAATGGGAGAGAAGATAGAAAATGTGGAGCACTGGAAGTGGGAGGCACAGCCAGTACAGAGAGCAGGAGAGGAAAAGGAAATGATCCTTTTCAAAGAGGCCAAGCCTATTAGACCCCAGGGTAAGAAACAGTGCTTTCCTGGAGAGCTTGAAGGAAATGGAGTTAGCACTGCAGAAAACCCACACGACAGAAGAGAATTTGGAAAGGTTCCAGAGAACAAACTAAGAACTAAGATTATTAAAGGACTGGGAGATTAAAAAAAAAAAAGAAGAAGAAGGAAAGGCCAAGGCATTAGAAATTGGGGTAATTTAGCAATAAAAAGGTGTTGTCAAGAGGACTCTAGAACATCTTAGCCTAGCATGTAATGAACAAGATAAAGTTAGCTTTTCTTTATTTTCATTAAATACAGGAGTCAGCTCAAATTGCAGCAAGAAGGCTCTGAGTCAGATATTTAGAAGAACTCACAAGAGTTATGCAGACATTGAACTTTATTAAGAAAGCAGTGGAAGCCTCCTCTAAAGAAAGGGTAAGACAGGTGTTTTTCTGGGTGGTATGAATGCAACCCTGACTTCAGGGAGGGAAAAAACTATGTTTTCTACCAGTTCTCCTCATTAGCCCAAGGATGACTTCAATTGTGACCCAACTTTTCCTTTTAAATCATGACTCCATATATATATATACTCCTGATTGAAAATTATATCATATAAAGGAAAACAGTATAGGCTTGAGAGTTGAGAGATTAGTAACACAAAATTCTACCTTTACTGCTCTGTAACCTAGAACAAGTGTCATAATTTCTTTGGGCCTCATTTATAAAATTGAGGAGAATACCATTTTCCTATTTACCTTCCAGTTAGGTTTGAGGATAAATGAAATCACAAAAAAAGTACTTTGAGTTCTCAAAACTAGAAAAACTATAAAAATACAATTTCTGGTGAATCTTGAACATATTTTCTTTCAAAATGCTCATTAATAAGTATGCTCTCCATCCTGATCTGACAAAGCCCTTCTCCCTGCTGCTCACTAAGAGCCGTGCCAAAGAAATACATTGCATCTGTCAAACCAAATGGCATCCATTTAACCTGTTTAGAAAGAGCTGGGTTCATAAAATCAACCTCCCATCATGCAATAATGTCAGATCCACTTACCTAGGCAAAGAACATCATTAGTGCCATTTTATATTAAAAGAAATTGACTTATAGCATGTCAAACAAGGTGCACCAAGCCCTTGACCTTTCCAATATGCCTCGTTTTCTCAATCTCCCCCATCCTGCTGCACCTGGCTAGTTGAGCACACACAACTGAAAATCAAAGATAATTTTGCACCAGAAGAAAATAATTTCTTGTATTTAGCTGTGTCTTCTTTCATAGAACGTATATGCAGAACTGAAAGCCATTAAAAGGCTATGGAGGCTGTTTATTTCATAAACTTATAATTCTAATGCCATGCTCAAACATTCATCAGCTGGTGGTGCCTCATACTCCCTATTAGACAGTAGTAATGAGTGAGAGATAGAGTGGAAATACTTTCTATCAAACAGAAATGTGGTCTGATCCTGCCTGAGTGAGTTGCCTACACAGTCTCTCTTTCCAAGCCTGAGACAACCATCAATCAACCAATGCAGCAGACTACGATGGCTACAGTACAAAATGGGAGTGGTAATTCAAGGGAGGAGGAAGTCTCTAAGAGGCTGGCAAAAGAATGAGAAATGTGCAAACCAGAGAAGGAATCTTCCAAATCAACAATTCTCAAGGTCCAAAACAGAGTACCAGTCAAGCAATTCTGCCAAAGAAGCTTCTTCACTGACTGACCAGCACCAAACAAAATAACTACAGAAAAGGGACTGTAAGACCAAGAAGAAAAAGTAAAACACCAGCATTCCCTAAACTTGTGCGTTCCACAATCTTGAAGTGTCTGAAGTTACAGAACAAAAGAAGTCATTCAGAAAATTCAAGCACCTAATCAACTTGTCTAGTTCTAAAGGTATTTTTCTTCTTTTAAGGATCTTTTTTAATTAAAAAAAAAAAAGCCCACATACACCCAACTTAAATGAGGCCCTCCCTTCCTCTAAAAGCTTTAGAAATAGGAATGATTCAGATTTAGGGTCAGTTTTTACAACAAGCAGGACCTCTGTTTTAGGATTTTCTAGGGGTCAGGGCATGGAGACGAGGAAATGGGAGCCAGGGCATGGGAAAGAGGGTAAAGAAGAAAAATTAAGATCTGTGGCAAAGACTTAATTTAATTAAATTAATGTTAATTGTTTTTAATTTAGATTAGTCAAAATATCCCAAGAAAGCTAACAAAAAAAAAAAAATCCTGCATTTTATTGATGCATGCAGCTGGCACTCTTGTTTTTGTAGTGCAGAGGTGTGAAATGTGCCTCCCACAGGCTGCCTGCAGCCTACAACACTCCCAAGTGAAGCCTGGCCCAGATTAAAATGTAATTGGAAAATAATAGCAAAATAAATTTTTTAAAACTACATAGATAATACTACGTTTTAACACTAAGTCAATGTATAGCCAGCAAAGATCCTTATGCAGAGTTCTGAGGCCCTGTTTCCATTCGAATCAGATGCCTCGGCTGTGGTCAATCACTGGGAATTCTTCCTCAAGATCTCTACCTTTTCAAGTAGGTTGATACATAGGTGGAAGGAGCACCAGTCTGAGAAGTTTCATTTCCCTTTGCTTCATCCCTCCAAAGCTGCCGAGTGTAGGAGCCACTCCGCACCAGATTAACAGCTGATTCTCTGTAGAGGCAAAAGAGTTAAAAAACAAACAAACAAAAACAACATTTTGAGTTTGGGAAAATCTTCAGCCCCCTCAGAACCCTACTCCTGTGTGGCCACAACCTTCTAATTATTATGCAATACAAACTGGGAGGGAGCAGCAGGAATGAGAAGTCCTGGGCAAAGACTAAAGGCAGGAAAACAGCAATAAGGCAGCTAGGTGGTAAAGCAGATGGAGCCACAGGCCTGGAGTCAGGAAGACCTGAGTTCAAATCCGGGGTCAGACACTTAACTAGCTGTGTGATCCTAGGCTAGTCACTTAACCTCTGTCTGCCTCAATTTCCTCAAACTGTAAAATGGGGATAATAGGGGCAGTCAGGTGGTGCAGTGGATAGAGTACAGGTCATGGAGTCAGGAGGCCCTGAGTTCAAATCCGGCCTCAGACATTTGACACTTACTAGCTGTGTCACTTAACCGAGGCGAGTCACTTAACGCCATTGCTTAGCAAAAAAAACAAAAAAATGGGGATAATAGTACCTACTTGTTGTTTTGAGGATCAAATAATATGTATAAAGTGTTTAGCACAGTGCCTGACACACAGTAGGTGCTTAGTAAATGCTTGCTCCCTTCCTCTATTTCCTTTCCCATTTCAAAAGTCTTTCTTCTGGCTATGGAAAGGAAATCACTAAATACTGTTGTGTGCTTTCATCAGTCTTTTGAGCTGATTATCTACCACCAAGCACTAAATCCCTGAGCACAGAGCTCTCCAGGCTTCGTGTCTGCTCCCACAAGAAGCCTTTCCTCATCCCCCTCGATGCCAGCCCCTTCCCTCTGAGGATACCTTCCACTTACCCAATATATATATATTGTCTGAACTGAGTTGCCTTCCAGTTTTTTCTCTCATTAGAAGGTGAGCTCCTTACTGGAAGGGACTGTTTATGCCTTTACACATACATACATACATACATACATACATACATACATGCATGCATAGTCAGTGCTCAGCACAGTGCCAGGCATGGAGTAAAATATAATAAACTCTTGCTGACTTGAATTGATATGACTTGTAGTAAGGTGAGCAGATATGGAAATGAGGGGATGGAAGGAAGAGGTATTTATGGGGAAGTCTATCCCTGGGGAGGTGTTGTCAGCTGACAGAGAAGCCCTGTGGACAAAGGCAGTATATTTCTGGCATCTGAATGCAGTAGCTTCTGGTTTCATATCCCTTCTCTATGGATAATAATAATAGTAGTAACAACAATGACAATAGCTGCATTTATATAGTACTTTAAGGTTTGCAAAGTGCTTTACAAATATTATCACGTTTGAACAACAGTCCTGGGAGTTAGGTGTTATTATGATCCCCATTTTACAGAGGAGGAAACTGAGTCAGAGGTTAAATGACTTATCCAGGCCCAAAATTCTATCCACTGAGCCATCTAGCTGCCTAAGTAATTAGGGAGACCTGAGTTCAAATCTGGCCTCAGACACTTACTAGCCATGCAACTCTGGATAAGTTACTTAACCTCTGCTTGACTCAGTTTCTTCACCTGCTGTTGTGAGGATCAAAAGAGATAATATTTGTAAAGTGCTCAGTATGGTGCCTGGAACATAGTAGGTCCTGTATAAATGCTGTTGTGATTAGTATTCATTATCTCCAGGCTCAGCACTCTGTATACCTAAGGAAGGTGATAAGGACATGTACTGCAAGCTTCATACCCATGAGAGACTCTGCTAGCCAGATGAGGGTCCAAAATATTTTCTTTACTTAGGTTTTTGAAAATCATGTAATCTAAATAAAAAATTCCACCAGCTCAGATTTTCTTCTGGGCTGTAGTACCTCAGGTTCAATATGATTGAATAATCAATATTAAATCATGATAATTCTGAATGTTGTTGATTCTTGGACTAACTGATCCATATATAGAGTTGTAAATATGCTACAAAAACCTTAAAACTCCAGGTCAATATGTTAAAAGTAACAGATCCATTTAAAGATCCCAGTCAAATCTTCTACCCTGGAGTAAGCAGTGCCTTAACTCCACCCCTCATCAACCAAGAGATGGGGTAATACAAGCAAAAGATAAACATCTCAGTGGATACTCTAAGAAAGAAGAGCTTGAAATTCAAAAGTACTCATTACTCTGTGACAATTCAAAGCCCACATGTGAACAGCCACCCTTTATCACTTTTTTGTTTTAAATTAATGGTTTCTAACCCGTTGAACTTTTAACCATCTGAAGACTCCTTATAAGAACATATTTATCTAAGATAAAAATTGAGCCCAAAATCCTATGACTCAGCGACAAGTGACTCACTGGCCTGGAGCGGGGGGAGGTTCCTAATCCATTTAATAGCTAGGTGACCTGGGGGAAGTTCAGTCTCCTCTATATCTTAAGATTCCTCATCTATGAAATGGAAGGGCTAATGGAAGGGGATAGTCATGAGGCCCTTCCACCTCCAGAGCTAACTTCTAAAATTACCTAACTTCCTTCAAAGGTCAGATCATGTGCTTCCTCATATGAGGTTTTTCCTGATCCCTCAACTGCTAATACCTCCATCGACTCTGAAATTACCTCGTTTTTACTTCGTATAAACTTGTATTGGTTCCCTACAATAGAACATAAGCTCCTTGAGGCCAAGGACTGTTTCTTTTTGTCCTTTATCCCCAGTGCCTGGCACAGGTAGGTGTTTAATAAATGCTTGGTGATTGGTTGATTGATATGATGAGCAAGTGACTTCAGAAAAACCTGGAAAGACTTGTATGGACTGATGCTGAGTGAAGCGAGCAGAACCAGGAGAACGTTGTACACATTAACAGCCACATTGTGCAATGACTAATGTTGATAGACTTAGCTCTTCTCAGCAATGCAAGGATCTAAGACATCTCTAAAAGTCTCATGATGGAAAATGCTATCCACATCCAGAGAAAGAACTATGGAGTGTGAATGCAGATCAAAGCATACTATTTGCTCTTTTTTTTCCTTTTGTTTTGTTTCTTCTTTCTTGTGGTTCCTCCTATAGGTTCTAATTTTTCTTTACAACATGACTAATGTGAAAATATGTTTAATAGGAATGTAAATGTAGAGCCTATGTCAGATTGCATGCTGTCTTGGGGAGGGAGGGGAAGAAAATTTAAAACTCAAAAGCTTATGGAAGTGATTGTTGATAAATCAAAATAAATTAATAAAAAAAGCTTATGGAAGTAATTGTTGAAAACTAAAAATAAATAAATAAATTTTTAAAAAGGAATAAAAAAATATATCTAGCCTTATCTCCTTCACTTCTAGTGCTGAATCTCTAACTCCATAATGAACAGACCCACTTAGATGTCCTGTAAGCCTGTCAAACTAAAAAATCTCCCAAGCTGAAGTACTTGTCTTAGCTTCTTAACCATTCCCCTCCTTCAAACCTTCCCAATTCTGTTGGGGGCACTGCCAACTCTTCTGGGTATGCAGGTTTCACCACCTCATGTCATTCCTGACTCTTTCCTTTCCTTCAGCCCCCACATTCAATCAGTTGCCAAGTCTTGTCAATTTCACCTCCACCCCATCTCTCAGGTTCATCCCCTTCTCTCCACCTGCACAGCCACTACCCGACTTCAGGCTCTCATCACCCATCATCGGGATTACTGAACCACCTTCCTCATCACTGTCCCTACTTTCAGTATCCTTCTCTCTAATTCATTCTCCACAAAATTGCCAAAATAATTTTTCAAAGGTACAGATCTGATTCTGTTACTATGTCACAGCCAAGCCAGGCTCCTTGTTGTTCTCCAAACTTAATTCTCTCTTTCATCTCTGTGTCTCCCAAACCTGGAATAAACTCCCTTTTCACCTCCACACTTTATTAGGAAGTTCTTTGTAATATAACCTAAAATACACCTCCCAGAAACTTCCATTGGGTCCTACTTCTCCTTTCTGCATAGCTTCAGAGTAGGAGAAAACTAGAACCAATAGGCAAGCATTACAGTAGGAAAATACTGTATCAATACAGGGAAAAAAACTTATCCTGCCCTATCTTATAGCACCTGCCAATTCTGCTCTGGTCAGGCCAGTCTAACCTCTCGGCCCCTAAAGGTGCCATGTTTGTTGAAGGCTCCTCCTACTCTCCCTGCCTGAAGTGTCCATAATTCAAATTCTGCTTCCCTTCCCCAACCACTTCAACACACAGTGCCCCTCCCATGTGCCAATCACTGTGGTGCTTAATCATATGCTTTCTTTTTTTTCATTTAAAATATTTTAATTTTTTTCCAATTACATGTATAAATATTTTTAATATTCATTTTTTAAATTTTGAGTTCTACATTCTCTCCTTCCCTCCCTGCTCCCCTCATTGAGAAGGTAAGCAATTTGATATACATGAATCACACACTTTCTTACAACAGTTATCTGTATTATATGTGTTACTCTTGTACCCCTTGTAAGCTCCTCAGGGATTCAGATCACAGCATCGTACATCTTTGTGTCCTCTCTTTGTAAGTGTGTATTGGTGGAACTAAAACTGAAGACAACTAACAAAATTCTGTGGTTGCCCCATGACACAATAAGTGGAATAATACACCTAGAGGTTAGCACCGAGCTTCCAAAAAATGCAGAGTCCTACTAAATTACACAATCATGTAAACAATTCCAGACATCATATTTCATAGCAACAGTATTCCCAGAATCACGGAATGCTAAGATCTGGAAGCAACCTTACCAATCCAATAGATTGAGATCTTCAGTTTTCAGATGAGGAAAACAAAGCCCCAAGAAGTGACTTGCCCACAGTCACACAACTAATAAGTAGTAAGGCCAGATTCTGATGTCACTCCCACTTTTCTTTCCACCCACCTCGAGCGATCACTTTACTGGCCTTTTTGGGCACTTTGGCTATTAGGTGGCCATGAATCAGAAGACACTCTAGTTGGGTTCTAGATCTGATCTGTAGATACACAGCAGCCATGTGCTGATGATTTATAATTGTGCAGATCTGCACATATAGGAAATAATCTGCTTTACAGTAACAAGAACCATTTCTTATCAATGTGCTAAAATTCCTTTTTTAAAGTTCTGTATTGATATTTCACCATTATGGTATGAAAGTACTGAGGACATTTGATATAAACAAGAGTCAAAGTCCTTTAGAGCCTATAATTTTCAATTCAATTCAACAAGCATTCATTAAGTATCTTCTATATGCAAGACAAATTTAGAGCATAAATCACAAGATCTCTGAATTTGGACTACAAGTAGGTTATTTCAGGAAGGTCAGCAGGAAAGGAAGGAGAAAAGGGAAGACAAGGCAAAGGAAGGAAAGTGAGGCCAAGGAAGGGGACGGCATGGCAGGATTTTTTAAGTTCCTACTATGTAGCAGATATTGTGCTACACACTTTACAAACACCATTTTGTTCTCACAACTCTAGGAGTACTATCGTTACCCCCCTCTGTTCAGTTGAGGAAATTGAGGCAACCTGAGGTTAAGTGACTTTCCTAGGGTCACACAGCTATTAAGTGTCTGAGGTGGGATATGAACTTGGGCTTTCCCAACTCTGGGCTCAGCATTCTATCCACTGTGCCACTTAGATGTAGAATGGCAGTTGTTTATCATAGTGGAAAAGAACAGAAAAAACACTCTAAGGAAGAAAGTGGACTAGCTGTAAGGCATGGTGAGACAGGTATAAAAACTAAAAGAAAAATCTCACAAAAATGTATTAAAGTGAGAAAAATCAGGAGAAGGAGAGAGCAGGAGCACACATGATGCAGATACTGTGCAGTGGTATGCTCACAAGAGGACATTCAAAATGGACCAAAGATATCTGCCTACTTAGGGCAGAGAGACAAGAACCCAGGAAGACCTCAGCACAACAGCATCAAATCAGAGCGACCTGTTAGACTGACACAGCCATACCTGTTTTCCTTTTCCTCAATGTCACTTGCGCTATTGAGCCTCCGGGGTACTAGTGAGGAAAAATAGCTTTTGTTTTCCCTCTCCTGCAAAACCAAAACAAGGAAAGTGTTGGGGGGGGAGTAGAATTGACTCGGGAGATAAAGCCTGGGACTAAAGGTACCACCTCAAAACATAACCCAATTACCTGGCTCAGTTCAGACACCAATTCCATTTCCAGGGTTACATACAAATGGCAAGTTTCAGTGGCTCAGGAATTCCTGAGTCCTTTCAAAGAGAAACAAGTATATGTGGAACAAGCCACTGGAAGGGAGAGGTGATCAGTGCATGGATAAAAGCAGCCCAAAGTGCCAGCCATGGCAGAGAGGCAAGGGGTAAAATGGCTTGTTCAAAAGCCAAATTCCAAACAGTTCTAAATGCTAGATGGACTAGCACTCATTTGCTCTTCTCCCCCACTTCCAACTTACTTGTTTTTGAACAATTAGACTTCAAATATAAAGGACAGGAAAGCTAGGCTGTCCTTAGAGAGTTATCTTGTGAGGAAAAAAAATGTAGATGCTTCTTAGGGGAAAAGTACAACAAACATCACTATAGCTGCAGCCAAGATAGCACACCTCTTTCCGTCTCGGTAGGTTAAAAAACTATCCAAAGTAACTAAATTACATGTCATGACCTCAGAGAGGAAGAATGAGAATATCAAGGGAGCTGATTTAAGACCTGGGATAGGGCGATTTGAAATGAATCGTTTTTACTCATCCAGGTGCGTAGCTATTTATGAGGATTGCCTAGTCACTACAAAACAGATTTTCCCCCTTTTATCATCGGCAGAAGTTTTAGGAGCCTTTTTTCCTCCAATTTCTATTTCTGCTGAGATCTTTTGGCTTGAAAGCCCAAACTAAGGGATTGTGCCCAATGTCATTTAACTGTTTTGCTCCCAAGTCCAAAAAAAACAAGCAGCGGTATTTTTCAAGGAAGACGTTTTAAGCCATACCCAAGTCTGGATACACCTCACACTACAGCTGTACTAAGTGTGAGAAGGCTGGCTATAAGTGGAGTCAAGAGGAGAAACCATGGGATTGGTAGAGCAAGAATTATTGCAGCTCTTGTCAACAATTACTTGAACCTTGTGAATCATGTTTGATCCCTAGTATTGAGGTGCTGATCTGCCTTCAATCCCGGTGACTCTCTGGGGCTGACGATGGTTTTCTATCTGTCACAGAATGAATTTGCTGATCCCCAAACAGCACCTTTTCTTTGTTGTCCAGCAGTGCAGAAATCCTGGGGCTCGATGAGGAGCGGCAGATGGAGGAGCCTCGATCCCTCAAAGCTTCCCGAGGACTGGCCACCTCACTCAGCATGTTGTGGCTGCCGGTCTTCCGGAGCCCAAGGCGCCACGAGGCGGGTGACTCGTCCTTGGGCTCTTCTGCCTTACTGAAGAAACTAGAGGAGAACTACAAGGAAAGGAAGGAACATGGAAGAGTAGCTGATCAAACAGCAGTGCTCACACAGCCAGAGTACATGCCTTTTTCAGACAACTAGCCTCTTCCTAACATAATTCCACTCTTGAGTTCAATAAAGTCCTGTTGTCTTGTGTAAGGATGACTAGATTGGATCCCAGTTACATGTGTGCCACTTAGGGTCTCATTATTCGCATCTATAAAATGGGGATAACAGACATTGCCTTGACCCAGAGGCTGGAAAACTAGAATGAGTTATGAGCAAGAAAGGCAATAAGACAAGCTGATTTATTATTAAGTAACCCTGCTTCTGAAGTCCTCAATGTACTGTATAGGTGGCCCTAAGTTCTCATGAAGGCTATGCTGAGTAGTTCCAGGTCCTACAAACTAGAAAGGCAAAGAGTATGGTCTCAGCAACAGACTATCTATCTGTCACCTGACACCAGTCTAGACCAGTTAGATAGGCTCATATCACCAGGAGTTTGGCTAGTAAGTGACAATTTTTTTTACATATAGCAACTGAAGAAATAGTCAATTAAGGCTGCAAAATGAAGGGAATGGACTGGTTGGAAGATTCCTTCCAACTCTAAATGTATCCAGTGCAGGCCAAGGATCTATGAAGTACCAAAGTATTAAACTTTATAAAAATGGGTAGTGAGTAAAAGGTGTAAAAATGTGTAATCTTTACAAAAATTCACTGAAATTCTAATTGCTAAAAATGTCTCAGAGCACTTGGATGTGCCTATATCAGTTTGGAGCTTTTGTGGAGTCTAAAGGCCTTCTGCAATATGCCTTGGGCTCCCTTCCCTGCCAGACCATCTCTGCCCATCTATCAGATAGCGTATGAGTACCATAGAGTGCCACGCGTGTCATGGTTAGTCCCCAAGGTTTCCAGGACACTAAAGGTATATGAACCAATTGGTGCTTTGCATTTCAGTGAGCACTTATCTTCTTTTTAACTTCCCATCAAGTGCCAAGATGGGCATCTCATCATAAAAACTTTAGAGCAGAGGCAAAGAACACAGAGAGGCTGTCAAAATGGTAAATGCTGGAAGCCTGAGCTCCCCCAGACTGTTGTCTATATAAAACTATTAGTAGGAAATAATAACTTTATCTTAAGATAAATTTTTTCAGGTGACAGACAACAAGCAATTTCTAACAACAAAGGCCCTTTTTGCTCTGTACACTAATACTACTATCCGGATGAGAGTTTTACAGAATCAACATCAAGAGCATATTTATAAGCCCTAAGGCACCATAAATACATAATTTATGTATTTAATAATGGAATTCCAAGGCTTTGGAATGCAGTTTTGTAAAATAATATTATCATATTTTTATATGTTATATATAAGTTATAAAAATATATATAAGTTAAATATATATAAAAATTAAAAAGTTAAAAAATATATGTAAGTTAAAAAATATAAGTTATAAGCTATGATAATATTATTTTACAAAACTGCATTCCAAAGCCTTCCTCATGGTCTTTGAGGGTATAACACAACACTAGAGCTGATTTTATGGCCTTCTCAAGCTACTCACTCTTCTGGCAGGAGAAGCAGAGAAGATATTCTGAGATGGTGGTGGTATCTGCTCCATGATGGTACTCTTAGATTCAGAGCTGGAGTGGTTGACAACAGCCTCTGGCTTTTGATCTGGTGTTTAACAGTGGAGAAGGAATAAAAATACTATTAAAATTTTGCTTCTCTCTCATGCCCTTTTCTGCTAATTGAAAGGGGTCACCTGGCAATTATTAGACAAAAGGGTGAAAGCATGAATCCACACAAATACCTGAACGCCAAGGAAATAAAAAACCACTAAGAGATTGTTGGAAGTAGAAGTTAACCAAATCCCCTGCCCTAGGAACTTTAGTCTAAACCTTTATTATGTGTAGAGGGGATTAAAAAGATATATCAATTTGATCTAATGAATGAGTTACTGGGCCATGCAACTGTGAAATATTTCACCAATTAGCAAAATTCTATTATACATTTATTGTGCTTATGACTGTGCCAGGCACTGTGGGAGAGACAAAAGAAGTATAAGACATGGTTCCGGATCTCAACAAATTTGTAATCTGGTTGGGGAGACAAAACCAGCACATGTAAAACAACAGCAAAACAAAATTTTAAATCCCAAAGTATCAAATGAAGAATCAAATGACTGGTTTGACCAGTGAGGGGACTGGGTTTAGAAGCCTCTTCCCCCAAGGAACCTACTGCCTCAGGTACAGACTCTAACCCTTCTGTTTTGAGTCACCACCCTAAGACCAAAGCCCCTCACTACCAGCAGAGGCACCAGCGGAGAGGACTGACCTTTCACTGACTCCACACTTCTGGCCCTAAGATGAACACAAAAGAAGACTGGGCTGTTCTCCACAGCTAGTGCTTTTCTCCTCACTGGAGGTTTTCAAATAGAAGTTGAATGACTATTTGTTAAGTATGTTACAATATGAATTCTTTCAGGAAATCAACTGAATGAGATCAGGGGCCTTAACTTGGGTTGAAACACTCCCTTAAGGGTTACATGGACAGATTTCAGAGGGTCCATGAACTTGGATTAGAAAAATATTTTGAAAACTGTATTTCAATAGAACTGATTTCCTCTGCAATCCTATGTATTTTATCTAATACATTTAAAGAAGTTAATCTGAGGAGGGGATCAGAGGTGGCCAAAGGAATCTACGACACCAAAAAGGTTAAGAACTCCTGTACCAGATGAATGCTGAGGCTCCTTCCAACTCTAACTTCTATGATTCTGCGATCTCTTCCTGAGACTATCGCCCAGAATGAGATTCTGAAGTCTCCTTGGTCCAGCAACACAAGGATGCTGCACCTACCCTGTCAATCTGTCAATATTCCTACCTGCCCTGTGTCAATCAAACAACACTATAATCATTCATTATAATCAACAGTCAGTCAACAAGTCTATAGGAGTTTACTATGTGCCAGGCACTGTGCTAAGTGCTAGGGATTCAAATAAAGGCAAATTCTACTGGAAAAGACAATACGTAAATCTCTGTGGACATACAAGATACCTACAGTATAGGAGAAATGTAGTGTCAGAGGGATGGCACTAGCTGTCGGGGAGAACAGGAAAGGCCTTCTGCAGAAAGCAAGATTTGTGCTAAGTCCTGAAGGAAGCCAGAAGGCAGAGATGAGAAAGGACGCCATTCAAGGCACACAGCACAGGTTACAGAAAAGATCTATCCGTGCATCTCTTAGTGCAGCGCTTCTTCAACTGTGGGTTGCGACCCCATATAGGGTCGTGTAACTGAATGTGGGGGTCGTGAAAAATTTAGCAACAGTGAAAGGTTTCCGAACACGCAACCAAAAATTAATTCAAAATCCAACGTTTTGGTGTTTCTGGCAGGTGTTTCTGGCGAGGTGTTTCTATGCTGCATAGCTGCAGCCTTGGTTCTGAACATACAATATGCACATGTTACACTGCACATACCATCATGCCAAGCAACAACACGAATACTGCCAGAAACACAGCTCAGATTCGAGTCTATGGTATGTTATGAACTGCAGTGTTTTTGCTATACACACAAAATCGTTAAATGGATTTTGGCTTGGGATTAGGACAGAATTTCCAACAACTTCTGAAATGGCCCTACACATACTTCCGCCATTTTATACTATGTATTTATGTGAAGTGGCATTTTCAGCATTGACGATTATAAAATCAAAATACAGATAAACTTTGAAAAACGTTGAAGATGTTCTATGTCCTTCAGTATCAAATATTCTGCCAAGATTTAATTCTTTATGTAAAAATAAACAAGCACATCCATCTCATTAGTATGCAAATTTGCTTTCATCTTTAACAAATGGTAAAATTATATGTATACCAAAGAATTGTTCTAAAATAAGTTTCTTTATGACTTATCAGTAAATGTTTGACTTGTATTTTACATACCTATATACCCAGGGTTGTGTAAAAATTTCTCAGGTGCAATGGGGTCATTTGCAGAAAAAGTTTTAGAAGCCCTGACTTAGAGGATCCGTCAACCTCAGTTAAGGACTCCTGATCTAATTCAATTGATTGCTCCAAAGAATTCCTACTCTAACATACTCTGCATAGGGAAAGGGCAGTGTTCAGAAATGGTGTGTTATGTGAGGGGAACAGTAATTAGGTATAACTAGACTGTAGATGGATGGAGGGGAGTAAAGTGTAAGCCTGGGGAGGTGGAAAGGGGCCAGATTGTACAGAGCTTTACATGCCATTACATTTGATCCAGGAGGTAACAGGCAGTCACTTTTGTGTGTGTGTGTGTGTGTGTGTGTGTGTGAGAGAGAGAGAGACAGAGACAGAGACAAAGAGAGACAGACAGACAGACAGACACACACACACACACACACAGAGTGACAGAGACAGAGGGAGACAGAGACAGATGCTTTAGGAAACCACTTCTGGAAGCTGACTAAAGGATCATTTGGAGTGGAGATATCAAACATAAGGTGATAGAAATAATCCAGGCGTGAGACAACGACGGCTTGACCTAGGGTGGTCACTGTGTGAGTAGAGAGAAAGTTACATAACAGAAATGTAGAAATAAGGTTTGGCAACTGATTGGATGTGGATGTGTGGTTGTGCGGTTTGTCCTTTCTTCCCAAAGAGGATCTTGACATCAGGAAGATGATGCCATGACTTGTAAGTCAATTGGACTACAGCGAGGGAGGGCTGTGCAAAGTCACCAGCCTCATTTTCTCCTCTGGAGCCATCTGTGCCCAGTGGCCACATAGAGATCAGGATGACTGCAGTGGGATGCAGTGGGAGACCTTGGCCTTTTTAAGCTAAAGTCTTTCAGAGTTCTCACTTTGACAGAGGCAAGGCCCATTCAGCGATTAGGGCTGTTTAAGAAGTGAGCCATGCCTTCACGGCACCTTTAATTAAAAAAAAAAATCAAACTGAGAGGGGAAGACCCTCAGAGTTTCTGGCCAAATGAGAAACAACTGCTATTTATATTCACTCTGAGACATCAGGGCCCAAACAATAACCATTAAGTTGTGTTTGGGGTAGGGACCTATTGTTGGCCAATCAATGACAGCCAGAGTGAATTGGGTTTAAGGCGTGGTCTTTAAGAAAAAAATCTAGCCAGTAAACCCCATCTAGGTAGGTTTCAACTTTCAAAATTTACCTTCCTTTGGGCAGAGCACCCTCAGGTAAGGGCATGATACTAGGAGAGGATGTGCATGTGGATGTGGATGAGAAGGAGAGAAAAAATTGAGGATGATACAGAGGTTATGAGTCTGAGGAACTGAGAAAATGGTGGTGTCCTTGACAGGAAAAATGAAGTTTAGGAGAAGGGGTTTGGTGAGAAAGATAAGAAATTCTGTTTTGGACATATATTTGAGATGCCTTATATACGACAATTTAGCTGAAGATGTCCAAAAGGCAGTTGTATGTATGACTGCAGAAGTGAAGGACAATCTGAAAGAAGAGAAGCAAAAGGCAATCATTTTAAAAGAAAACATTGGAGCAGCCAGGTGGTGCAGTGGATAGAGCACGGGCCCTGGAGTCAGGAGGACCTGAGTTCAAATCTGGCCTCAGACACATAACACCTAGTAGCTGTGTGACCCTGGGCAAGTCACTTAACCCCACTGCCTAGCCAAAAAAATCCAAAACAAAACAAAAAAAGAAAACATGATCTCTATGCAAGCAAAACATATTGCTCTCAAAGAAAGAATGCATATCTCCTCTATGACTGTAAAAACTATTTTTTTACCTGCTTTATGTTTATTTGGTATAAATAACCAGAAAGTCACCAAAAAAGAGTTTTCTCTGTTTGTTACATCTTTTGTATATCAAAAACTTTGTACAATTTTTACATAAACATGAAAGACAATTTGTTGAAGAAGAGCCTTTAAGGCAACATTTTGCTCTATTGAATAAAATGCTTTAAAAAATTAATTAACAATAAGCACACTAGGATTTTATATTCTTTATACTTTTCAGTAAATTTGTGATTATAAAGATGTGGTCTATCATGGAATACTGTCTGTGAAAATCTACTTATTCTTTTCTAATAATAATCCCAATCCAATAAATATTTATTAAATTCTAGGCACTGTGCTAAATGCTGGAGATAAAATTAATAAAAAGACAGTTCCTGCCCTCAACAAGCTTACAATCTAGGGGAGAAGACAACACACAAAAGGAGGCAGGAAAGGTGGGGAGGGGAGACACCAAGAGGGACCCAGGGAGGGACATCTTGTTCCGCAACGTTGAAACCCGGCAAGGCACAATATGCAAAGTGGAATCTTTGGATCTGACAGTCCAGTTTCTCCCCTCTGTCATGGAAGGCTTTGGGAGGAGTTTGGTTTCCCATCCTCCTGCTCTCCAATCAGAGAGGAGAGGAGGCTGAGTTTGCAGAGTGGTGGTGAGTTTAGAAGTGATGAACTTATCCTGGGCAGAGCATCTTGTTGTGGGGAATTGAAACCAGGCAGGGCAGCAGATGCAAAGTGGGCTATAATAATGTCCTTATTAAAGATGCTCTCAATGTGTGTTTAGATGATGCTCATAAAAATTTGCATAGCTGGTGAAAGAGGCAGATGGATAGGCACTTACTAATATCTCTTAATCACTTTAGGGGGAGGGAATGGGTAATATTTAGGTCAGATTTCTTCCTTTTTAATGCCTTTGGCATTATCCTATATTCATTTTCCTTGAGTATTGATCCCTCAATATCATTAAAATTGTCACCTTCCATATAGATCTCCTCTGGTTATGCCTGGTCTAGCTAGTGGCTTTTCTTCAGTGCCCTTCATTCCCACTTCTTCCAAAAGCATATGCGGGACAATAATATCTATAGTCCAAAAGTAGAGGCTCTACCATCATTAATTGTGAAAAGAGCTTGTTTTTTAAAAGTGCTGATGAAGAATGAAGTGAGCAGAACCAAGAAAACAATTTATATAAGAACGTTATAAAGAAAAGCAACTCTGAAAGCATTAAGATTGTCGACTGATGCAAAGACCAAGTACAATTCCAGAGGACTGAGGATGGAGCTAAGGATGTACCCACCTCCTGACAGAAGAGGAATGTGATGGATTCGAGATTCAGAATACAAGAAACATTCTTAGATATGGCCAATGTGGAAATCTGTTTTGCCTATGTATATGAATAAATTTGTGTTTACTTGGCTTTGTTTTTCCTTCTTTTTTTTTCTTTCAATACGAAGGAGAGAAAGAGAGTAGGAAAAAAAAAAAGAAAGAGGATCATTAACACTTTAAATTGTTGTTTGTCCATTGTGAGGGAGGGCCGTGCAAGGTCACCAGCTTTACTTTCTCCTCCAGAGCCATGTGGCTCCAGTGGCAAGATATAGATCAGGACAATTAGAGATGGCCTAGGATGCAGTGGTAAACCTTGGTCTTTTCAAGCTAAGGTCTTTCAGAGTTTTCACTTTGACTGAGGCAAGGCCCATTCAGGGATTAAGGCTGGTTAAAATAAGCCAAGGAATGGCCCCTTTTTTCTAATTAAAAGAAAAAAATCAATCTGAGAGGGGAAGACTCTCAGGGTTTCTGGCCAAAACAGAAACAATTACCACTTACATTCAATTAGCCATCAGGGCCCAAACAATGACCACTAAGTGGTGACTGGGCTGGGACCTATAGTTGGCCAAACAATGAGAGCCAGAGTGAATTGGGTTTAATAACCTATATCAGGAGAGGGGAGCGTAGGGGAGGGAGGGAAGGAGAGAGAAAGAGAGGAAAAAAGTTTAGAACTCAAAATCTTATAAAAGTGAATGTTGAAAACTTCCTTTACACGTAATTGGGGGGAAAAATAAAATACTATAAAAAAGAAAAAAGAAAGAATTTAGCCAGTAAACTCCAAGACATCTTGCTAGGTTTCAGCCATCAAAATTCACACTCCTTTGGGCAGAGCACCCGCAGGTAAGGGAATGATACCCCATGTGGACAGAGGGAGAGGAAGGAGGGAAAGGAGAGAGAGGGAGATGAGAGGAGAGAGCAATACTTTAAATATAGAACAACAGAAGGAAGAAAAGGAAGAATCAGACAAGTAGGATAGCTCTGAAAGTTACATGTTGAATCATTACATATTTTAAAAGAAAAATCAGCTGTACAAAATAAGGATGACAGTTTTAAGCACAGTTTCTGTTTGACTATGTTTATGGAAATATGCATTCTATTTGGTATTTAAGTTCAGAGGCAAAATTTTAATTCGAAGGGCTTATCAAGTGGTTTATAAAATTCATCTACCTCCTCAACCTCTGCAACTAATGTTCATATAAAAACTGCAATTATTTTTACAGTAATCTTTTTTGCAAACGGTTATCATAAGCACTGTGATATAAGATGAGTGTCTCATGAAATGTTACTTCTGGCTGACTTTGAATTCACAATAACTCCTCTCTTTGCCTCTCCAAGGATAGCTTATGGCCTAGCCTTCCTTTCATCTGCAACTTTCTTTTGTTTTCTGGATTACTTTACATAGCAACCCATAAATGTAGTAAGGAAGATAAAACACGTACTGTACACAAGTGATTACACCACAGGGTTTATTGATAAGTGTCATAAGAATGGTACTAACAGAGAACAGTTTAGAAGAGTAAAAGCTCACATTCCGCTGTTGTTCATCACGGAAAGCTTCACAGAGAAAGTGGCCTTAAAAACAGCCAAATTTGAAAATTTGAATGCTGAGTCTATCAAATTAATGGTCTCATTTTGTAGGATCACCTATAAGTGCTTATTCTGCTTTATGGATCATCTAAAGTGATCCACTGTTCAAAAGGCACTGACTAGGGGATCAAAGGGTTAAGGTATTCCAATTTGTCGAGTGTGCCGGTCGCGCTGTGCACTCTCCTCCTAACAGGAGCAGGCTGCCAGGGTCATACTTACCAGTCTTCAGAGCCCACCCGCATAAACATAGAGACGAGCCGATCGAGAGGTGTAAGCGCTCG